TCGGGAGAGAGAAGGCGGGGCTCGGGAGAGAGAAGGCGGGGCTCGGGACCCGCCGGAGGCGGAGCGGGAGCCGAAGGGGTGTGTCTGAAGCGGGGGCCGCTAAGTCCTAGAAGGTGGCAATTTTCCTGGGCCGGCGGCGCGCGGCGCAGGTGGAGAGGCCGGCTGGCCCGGACTTCGGCCTCGGGCTTCGGGAAATGGCGGCTGGGGGCAGAATGGAGGACGTGAGTGCACGGAAGTGGCGGGAGGCTGGCCCCGGAACCCCTTTCTTCCCTTGCTGGGCGCGCTGGGCGGAGACTGCGGAGGGAAGCCACCCTTACCCGGTGCGACCGCGGCCGGAGGAGGCGCTTCCTGCGCAGGGCTGGCCCCGGTCTCGGGGTTCTGGGACAAGACACCCAGGGGGCAGTGGGGTCCGCGACGCGCTGGCTCCAGGCTTACTTTTCCGAGTGGAGGCCGGGTGGGCTGCTGGGCAGGGGATGCGCGGATGCTGGGGGTCCCAGGCAGGCGCCCAGCCCACGTGCGGCGCGCGTCTTTGATCCCGGAACTGGGAGCCTCACGTGATGCGCGTCTGGCCTGACAGCAGTCTCTGGGGCGCTCCTCTGAGCTGGGCCGCTTGGCTCTGCTCAGACGTATTGAGTCGCGGGGACGAATCTCCCTCCTCGTGGGTTCCCTGCCCTGGCTTTAGAGGGCTGTGAACGTGGAGCGGCTGCGACATGCAGGCCGGCTGCCAGTGTCTCAGGGGTCGACCTGTCACTGGCATCATCCAGCAACCCGCATTGGAGAAAAGCAGTGTCGTGATGTTTTGAATGTAACCGTGATAGGCAGAAAAGGATTTTTAAATCTCCTTGGTTAATGGATCCAAACCAGGTTACTAAAAAACTAGTCGCCTAGACTACAGTCTGTAGAGTACGAAGTAAAATATTTGCATAAGTATATTGAAACATTTTTAGGGGAAACATGTAATTGTGCCCAGAATAACTGGCTGCCCCAATGTCAGGTAATAAAATTTGTATCCTTGAGAAATGCGAAGTTGAAAGAAATGCAAAGCACTAATTTGGATTAAGACATTAATAGGAATTATTACTGTGATCCTGTCAGTTCATTAGGGGCATCAGGCAAGACTCATAACAGTTCCAGCCCTACATGAGCTTAGATTCTTGTGTAAATAGCGACAACAGTTAAGGTATCTTAACTAAAAACCAATTTCTTTTTATTTTATTTTATTTCATTTCATTTTTTATTATTTTTAAAAATTTACATCCAAGTTAGCATATCGTGCAATAATGATTTCAGGGGTAGATTCCTTAATGCCTCTTACCCGTTTAGCCCTTCCCACCACATACAATCCCTCCAGTAACCCTCTGTTTGTTCTCCATATTTAAGAGTCTCATGTTTTGTCCCCCTCCCTGTTTTTATATTATTTTTGCTTCCCTTCCCTTGTGTTCATCTGGTCTGTGTCTTAAAGTCCTCATATGAGTTAAGTCATATGATATTTGTCTTTCTCTGACTGACTAATTTCGCTTAGCATAATACCCTCCAGTTCCATCCATGGTAGTTGCAAATGGCAAGATTTCATTCTTTTTGATTGCTGAGTAATGCTCCATTGTGTGTGTGTGTGTGTGTGTGTGTGTGTGTATACACACCACATCTTCTTTATCCATTCATCCATCGATGGACATTTGGGCTCTTTCCATACTTTGCCTATTGTTGATAGTGCTGCTATAAACATGGGGGTGCATGTGTCCCTTTGAAACAGCACACCTGTATCCCTTGGATAAATACCTAGTAGTGCAATTGCTGGGTCGTAGGGTAGCTCCATTTTTAATTTTTTGAGGAACCTCCATACCATTTTCCAGAGCGGCTGCACCAGTTTGCATTCCCACCAGCAGTGTAAAAATGATCCTCTTTCTCCGCATCCTCGCCAACATCTGTTGTTGACTGAGTTGTTAATGTTAGCCATTCTGACAGGTGTGAGATGGTATCTCATTGTGGTTTTGATTTATATTTCCCTGATGATGAGTGACGTTGAGCATTTGTTCATGTGTCGGTTGGCCACCTGGATGTCTTCTTTGGAGAAGTGTCTATTCATGTCTTTTGCTCATTTCTTCACTGGATTATTTGTTTTTTGGGTGTTGAGTTTGAGAAGTTCTTTATAGATTTTGGATACTATTTGGATATTCTTTCCTGCTTTGTCAAAGATTAGTTGGCCATACGTTTGTGGGTCCGTTTCTGGGTTCTCTATTCTATTCCATTGATCGGAGTGTCTGTTCTTGTGCCAGTACCATACTGTCATGATAATTACAGCTTTGTAATACAACTTGAAGTCCGGGATTGTGATGTCTCCTGCTTTCAAAACCAAACAGTTTCTAATGATAAGACTAAAACTTTATTTTTTTTTTCAGTTGAAAAAATGGAAAACTAACTAAGACATAGAAGTAGTTTTGACATTCATATACATATAAAGAGAAATCATTGTTTCTGAATTTTTAAGGGTGAGATTCATGACCTGACAATGTATGGGAACGAAATCTGAGGAAAATGAGAGACTGTTAGGCAAATGTGTGCAGTAAATGCTTCTTGGTTGATTTTAACTTGCCCCAGGTTCTTGAATCTGTAGCTTTTAGCTTTGGGATGAGTACAATCCGAGAAATCTGTCTCATCAAACAATTGGAGATTGATGTTTCACCAACAGTTACATACCTAAATCCCTTTAGATCTGAGCAAGTTGCCTGTTTTTGGTATTTTGTGGATATGATTTCTACCATTCAGTAAGAAGCTAAAACTATGGTCTATGCTGTAGGACTAGACATTTAAGTGAGTTAGCAGAGGCAGAGGCTTTTTAGTTAGGGTTCATTGTTTGCAAGCTGTGAAACCAACTCTGGTTAATTTAAAGAAGTTAGGAATTTATTTGAAATGATACAGGGTGGATGGACCCTTAGGCCTCTGAAAGGACTTGAAACAAGGGCAGCTCAAAGGATCTAAGTGACGGGGGTCCTTTCAGGGTCAGCCCTGGACTGAATCTGCCCCACCATGGTCCCCCTTTGCTTTGTTGCTCATAGAATTGGATTGCCCAGCCCTCTTAGGTTCCACCTAGGCCAGAGGAGGGTGAAGAGTATTGAAGGATGTGCCCAGTGGGTCCCCAGAGGAAATTGAGTTATGGTCACAAAAGAAGAGGAAGGAGATCCGTATGGGCAAAAACAACAGATTTCTTGTACAGGTCATAAGTTACTAATAGTGTAAGTAAAGAAATTATTTGGATTCAGGAGTTGTCTTCCCTTCACCCTTCACATGCAGATGGGGAGGTGCCATCTGAGGGTGATAAGGTATTGTTTGTGTGGTTATATTACATTTCCTATAGAATCCACTGGACAGTTTATTTGATATAGCCACCAAATACATTGTATTTACCGAACATCTATTAAGTGACATAGAGAAGAAACCGTATTCTAGTTTCCAACCCCTTCAATGTAGTCAGGAGAATCAAAAGGTATACACATAGGGGCGCCTGGGTGGCGCAGTCGGTTAAGCGTCCGACTTCAGCCAGGTCACGATCTCACGGTCCGTGAGTTTGAGCCCCGCGTCAGGCTCTGGGCTGATGGCTCGGAGCCTGGAGCCTGTTTCTGATTCTGTGTCTCCCTCTCTCTCTGCCCCTCCCCCATTCATGCTCTGTCTCTCTCTGTCCCAAAAAATAAATAAACCTTGAAAAAAAAAATTAAAAAAAAAAAAAAGGTATACACATAAAAAAGGAAGTAATACAAGACAGCATAAGAAATAATCCAATTAATGTGAGCAGTACATTTTATAGCAATTTTAAAAAAATTTTTAATGTTTTTATTTATTTTCTGAGAGACAGAGCGAGTGGGAGAGGGACAGAGAGAGAGAGGGAGACACAGAATCTGAAGCAGGCTCCAGGCACTGAGCTGTCAGCACAGAGCTGGATGCGGGTCTCAAACTCACTAACCGTGAGATCATGACCTGAGCCGAAGTTGGACGCTCAACTGACTGAGCCACCCAGGCACCCCAGCAATTTTAAAGTAGAAAGAAAACACTTGTCAGGACAAGTTTTATGGAGACGTTAAGTCTTGGTTGCACCTTGCAAGGTGAGTTGGATTCTGAAAACAATAAGAGAGGATGTTTGTGGGGCACTCCAGAAAGGTCATTTAGGGTAGAGGAGATGGTGCGTGGAAGAAAGGGAGGTAAAGGAAAGACTTATGGTTAAATCTTCAAGGCTAGCTTTGTATAAATTCCCAGGTCCCAAGTGTTCAAGTTGGGCAATCTTTCATTCACTCCACACACATACTGAGCACCTGCTCTGCGTTAGGTGCTAAGTATAAACAATATATACTACAGAATCTCTGCCCTAGTCAAGCACACTATTCCCACAGCTTTGATACCTTGTGGTTAGTATTATAAGTTAGCAGTAGGAACCACTATTCCTAGCCAGCATGGAGTAACGGCCTAGATTTATCCTTCTGCCTCAAACAACCAAAAAACTGTATACAATATATGAAACAACACTTTTTAAGATATTAAACATCAGGCAGTGAAGGAAAGTGTTTTCCAAGAGACAGGAAACAAAGTGAGTCGGGGGTGCCTGGGTGGCTCAGTCAGTTAAGCGTCTGATTCTTGATTTCAGCTCAGGTCATGATCTCACGGTTCGTGAATTCGAACCCCGCATCAGGCTCTGTGCTGGCCGTGCAGAGCCTGCTTGAGATTCTCTCTCCCTCTCTCTCTCAAAATAAATAAGCTTAAAAAAAAATTTTTTTTTTAATTTAAAAAAACCAAAGTGAGTCATAGGATTGCCCCAGCCGACCACCTTGAGAGTCTGCAGGCTGTGATAGGAAAGGGCGCCCCAGCAGCGGTCAGCAGGCTCCCTGAATTGAGGAGATAGAGCTGAGAGCCTGGGGAGGCAGAGGCAACAAGGGTTCACACGGCGGTCCCTGGAGAGGAGAGAGCTGCACAGAGGGAGAACTGAAGATGTGCAGAGTCCCCCTTAGGTAGTCAGCTGGGTCTTGCTCAATACATGCCTGTGAGGACATTTCCCACAGCCTGGAAAAGAACCACCTGAAATGATTAGAAGAAACAGTACTTAGTGCTCACACAGGGCCCGGAATAGTGCCTGTTCCGCCAGTCAGACTGGAAACCCCATAATTCACAGGGTATTAGGTGCTTAGAAAGGTCTTGCCTTCAGAGTGGGGAAAAAATTAGCCTTAGACTAAACACAGCTATGGTCCAACCTAATAATAAGTCTTAAAAGCAAGGCCAAAAAGATCAAACTGTTTCCGAGTAACTTAACTGCATTCCAGAACAAAGCTCAAGGATATTTTTAGAAATACAAAACTGTCCTGCACCCGAAGAGATAAATGTGGCATCTGATCCAAAATTACTAGGCATTGGTAATTATGTGCATAATGAAGGTGTTAACTAATGCTTCCGTGGTAATCATTTTGCAATCCATAACTGCATCAAGGGGCGCCTGGCTGGCTCAGTCAGTAGAGCATGTGACTCTTGATCTCAGGGTCATGAGTTCAAGCCCCACATTGGGTGTGGAGCCTACTTACTTAAAAAAAAAAAAAGTGTATCAAATTAACTCATGGAACACCTTAAACTTACACAATGCTATATGCCTATTATATCTCAATACAGTTGGAAAAACTATCAAGCATGCAAAAAGGCAGGAAAATATGACATATAAGGCGGTTGAAACTGATTCAGAAATGACATGCTAGAAATAGCAAACAGGGACATTAAAAAATTATTATGCCCGTTTTCTCTCCATTCAAAAGGTTAAAAAGACATATGGAAGATAGAAAATAGACCCAAGCCAAACTCGGGGACATGAAAAGTAGAATGTCAGATGAAAAGGGCAGTAGGAACAGTGTTGAAGCATCAGAGAAGCCAGTGATTTTGCTGAGACAAGCCTTGACACGTGGGCAAAAATAGGTAAAGGTCCAGGGACTGAAAGAGTTTTGTGAGCGATGGGAGCAAGGAGCAGTCGGCATCAGGGGGGAGAGAGAGAATGAGAGGCAAGTCCCAAAAACTAGCTTGGGAATGGGTTGGAAGCGAGAGAACCAGTCTAAGAATTTGGCCTGTGTTCCGAGGATCATCGGGAGGGACTCAAGGTTTAGGGGAAAGAGACGTGTATGTTATTTTAGAGGATGTCCAGCTGCAGCAAGAGTTTGCTGAGGTCCGGAGACTGGAAGGCAAAGGCCATGAGAAACGCTGGGGCCTGCACTGAATAGTGAGCACAGAGAGAAAAGAACAGACTTAGGAGTTCGGATGGTAAAAGGAATACTATGTGGGGAAAAGCAAGGGAAAGCGAGTTAGAGACAATAGCGCCTGCTAGTTACTCATTGCTTAGTCTGTGCCTGCCAACGTTCTGGCACTTTTCTGTATAGTAACTCATTTCATCTTCCCAAGAAAGCTATGAAGCAGGTGCTGTTATTATTCTCTTTTTTGAGCTGAGGAAACTGAGGCATAGAAAGCTGAAGTGACTTGCTCACAGCTAGGAAGCAGTGAACTTGTAGCTGAAGCCAGGCAGTTTGACTTAGGAGCTTGCCTTTGACCACAGTACGTTCTGCCTCTGCATCTGATCAGAGCTGATTCTCCCACAGCTCCTGGTGACCTCTCCTGGTGAGCCCAGGTCTTTGATGATACCATAATTGAGTTAGGAACACTGCGAGATAGGTTTGGACCAGTCATTCATTCATCGGGTGTTCTCTGGGTGCTAACCCTAAGTCACTGCTGGGTGCCAGGATGACAGAGACAAGGGATGGGGAGTTCGTGGGTCTCATGAAATGTACTGGGCACGGGTAAGGAATAAGACCATCAAAGAATAGTATGGTAGAGGAAGTGAGCACAAACGTGGGAAGACATGAAGGTGTGGCACGATCCAGATGCTTGGATGCCTGAGAAGGCTGCCTGTGAGAACTGCCCCAGCGGGGCCTGGACGGATGCACAGACGTTAGCCCTGTGGAGCTAGGACATCTGCTGACTGAGAAAGAGCCAGAGGCAAAGGAATCTCAAAAAGAACAGAACTAATCGGAACCATACCATAAGTTACGGCAGACTGAACAGGAAGCTATCTAGGCATTGAATGAAAAAAAAAATTGCAGAACAGCCTTGAACGCCTGAGCTTGGAAATTGAGAAGACCACCCCAGATCTGAGTTAGGCCCCAGATTATTATTTTTATCTTTGTAATCTAGTGCCCAGAAGGCATCCCTTATACCGTTTGTCTCACTCTATCCCTTCCAAAGAGTCCTTATCCTCTGTTTCCAAATGCTGTTCTCTGGCTTCCCTTTTTCTGTTGAAACCTTTATTTCCATCTTATTTTATATTTCGTCCAATGAGCTCACTTATATTATCATTTCATCCCGTATGCCTTTATCCCTAACCTCCCCAATGAAAATGCAATCTTTTGGACAGGGACTGTGTTTTATGTTTTTTAATCTTAGAGTGCCTTATGTACGATAGTTTTCGGTTAGGACCTGAGATTAAAAGATTGTCGTAAGCACCGGAGACCTGGTAGTACTGTTCCTGTACCGCCAATACCTTTCAATAAGACCGACTGAAGTTGTAGGTTGTAGCTCAACCCCATCAGCTACTTGAGTGCCATTGCCACTAGTTGTTTTCATTGAGAATCTGGTATCTATAAACTAAAGTCTCCTCAAAGATCTAGCAGGATGATGTTTCCTTCTCTAAAATGTTTCAATCATAACTAAAAGTCCAATAAAGCCTCCACTAGCTTTCCAAATTTTTGTGGAACACCAGGATGTAGTTTAAGAATTGTAACCACACAGGGGGCACCTGGGTGGTTCAGTTGGTTAAGCATCCGACTTTTGATTTCGGCTCAGGTCATGAGCTCACGGTTCCTGGGTTCGAGCCCCATATCGAGCTCTGCACTGTCAGTGCCTCTGCTTGGGATTCTCTCTTTCCCTTGCTCTCTTCCCCTCCCCTGCTTGTTCTCCCTCTCTCTCAACATAAACTTTAAAAAAAAAAAAAAAAAAAACTAAAAAAAAAAGAACTGCAACCATATGTAATTATTTCATCAATAATGTAAATGATGTTAGATAAATCAACATCTAAGTTTTGAGGGCTTAAAGAAAAAATGTTTGCTTTAATCTCATTCTGTATTATCTCATTTGAAGATAACTGAAGTTAAGATTTCCTGTACCCATTTTAATACTTGCTTCACCAATTTGTGTATAGTAGTTGTCTAGAAGTTTATGGTCTTTTTAAATTGGCTCTAGGTAGGGAGTCTATTTTTCTTGCTTCTAACTTGTATAATGGTTTTTTAAAGCTTTATGGTTTATTTTTTTAATTTTTTTTTTTTAACATTTATTCATTTTTGAGAGATAGAGACAGAGCGCAAGTAGGGTTGGGGCAGAGAGAAGAGGGATTCACAGAATCTGAAGCAGGTTCCAGGCTCCGAGCTGTCAGCATGGCGCCCAATGTGCGCTTGGACTCATGAACCATGAGATCATGACCTGAGCCAAAGTCAGATTCTTAACCGACTGAGCCACCCAGGTGCCCCAAAGCTTTATAGTTTAGTAGATTTGTCTTAGAAACATAATCCAGAAAGTGGTGATTATAGTTTGCTTCTGTTTTTCTGTCTCTCAGGGCTCCTTGGATCTCACCCAAAGTATTGAAGATGACCCCCTTCTGGACACCCAGCATCTCCCACATCATTCATTACATGCTCATTTTAGACCCAGATTCCATCCTCTTCCTACGGTCATCATAGCAAATCTGCTCTTGTTAATACATGTAAGTTGGCTGGGACAAAGTAATCCATACAAAGGTGATGTTCTTAAATATATATAGAAGCTCTTTAGAAGGCAGTTTGGCTACATGTACTGACATTTAAAATGTGCATACTTTTTGACTCATCTCTCTTCTTCAAAGAGTTTACTGTAGATGTATTTGCTCATGTGTCAGGAGATTGTTGATAATAGTACTCCTGTCCATGGTATCAACTTACTGCCCCTACCACCACTCAGAGGACACTTTTATGTCCCATCCATATGAAAGAATGCTCTGCAGTCTCTGAAAAAGAAACAGGGTGGATGTGCATATATTAGACCAGCGTTCACAATTATATTATTGAGTGTTTGCAAACATAGGTTTACAACAGTGTGCACAGAATGTTCCTATTCACACATTTTAAAAGAGAATTCAGAGGGCTGCTGTGCATGTGTATTCCTGGCTAAACACAGATTATTTCTAGATGCATTCACATGACTGTTTTAACACTAGTGGCCACTGAGGTGGAGGACTGAGGGCCTCATAGAAGGAATACCTGATATATTTTACTATCTGCCTTTTGTACTATTTGAATTTTTTCCCCCATATGCATGTATTTTTCAGTTACAAAAGAAAAAAGAGATGTAGATAAATCTATATACGTTGACAGAATCTTATCAATTTATCTACACTTAGGAAATAACGTTAAGCAGAGAAATCAAATTGCAGCAGAATAAGTATAGTGGTGCTCCATATTTTATATTATGATAAAATTATAAATGTCTGGGGATTTTTAAAAACACACGTGTTGGGGCGCCTGGGTGGCACAGTCGGTTAAGCGTCCGACTTCGGCCAGGTCACGATCTCACGGTCCGTGAGTTTGAGCCCCGCGTCGGCTCTGGGCTGATGGCTCGGAACCTGGAGCCTGTTTCCGATTCTGTGTCTCCCTCTCTCTCTGCCCCTCCCCCGTTCATGCTCTGTCTCTCTCTGTCCCAAAAATAAATAAACGTTGAAAAAAAAAAAATTTTAAAACACACGTGTTGCTACCAGTAGATACATAAGTCCTAGAGATCTAAGGCATAGCACAGTGACCACAGCCAACCATACTGTGTGTATTGTAAACTTGAGAGTTGCCAAAAGATTACATATCTTAATTGTTCTCACCACAGAAAGGAAATGATAATGATGTGAGGCGATAGAAGCGTTAGCTAACACCAAGGAGGTAATCATATAGCAATATATATTAATGTATTAAATCCACACGTTATAGGTGCACCTGGCTGGCTTAGTCGGAGGAACATGTGACTCTTGATCTCAGGGTTCGAGCCCCACATTTGGTATAGAAATTACCCAAAAATAAAATAAAAACTTAAAAAAAAAACCCCAAAACAAAGTGGTACTCCTTAAACTTACACAATCAGCATCACGTACCAAAAGGAACCCCTAAATGGACAAACAAACAAGGGAAAAAATCTCCATGTGTGAATGGTCTTGTTGTGGGCTTACTGATGGCTCTGCATCTACTCTGTTAAAAATCTCCATTTCAGTTGTTGAGATCTGAAGTGCGAGGGGACATAGTTATTCTTTGCTACAATGTGAGAAATCCAGAGGACAAATTCTTAGCAGCCCAAGTGTTTATGGGGATGAATGTGGTTCATTGACTTGCTCAGCTGCTGCTCCAGTGACACGCACTGTGTAGCCTTGAATTAAGAACTGAATACCCTGACGGGGTGCTTGGGTGGCTCAGTCGGTTAAGCATCGGACTTCGGCTCAGGTTATGATCTCACAGTCTGTGAGTTCAAGCCCCGCGTTGGGCCCTGTGCTGACAGCTCGGAGCCCGGAGCCTGTTTCGGATTCTGTGTCTCCCTCTCTCTGACTCTCCCCCGTTCATGCTCTGTTTCTCTCTGTCTCAAAAATAAATACACGTAAAAAAAAAAAAATTTAGAAAAAAGAACCGAATACCCTGAGGAGACAGATGTGTCCTTTCTCCTTGTGTAGATCTAGTAAGTGCAGTGTGGTTCTGCCATGGCTTCTGATCCCCAGATTATCAACTGAAGCACTTCTTTCCTGATGCCACCACGTGCAGAGGTGGCCTCCTGGTCCCTGCATCGTGGCCGGTTTTTCTTCTTCTTCTTTTTTTTTTAATAATATACTCCTTAATTCATGTAACATACTCTTTATGTATATATACCCCCCACATACACACAAACATACACACATATCACTTAAAAAAAACCTTTTTATATTAAGTTGCCTGCCTAAGATACTATGGGGTCGATTGCCCTAGTTTTAGGACTAAGAAAATATCGTGTTAAAAAACAAACAAACAAATACCAGCATTACCCTGATACCAAAACCAGACACCACCAAAAAAGAGAACTACAGGCCAATATCTCTGATGAACATAGATGCAAAACTTCTCAACAAAATACTAGCAAACCGAATCCAACAATACACTAAAAAAATCATTCACCACAATCAAGTGGTAATTATTCCTGGGTTGCCAGGGTGGTTCAGTATTCCCAAATCAATCAATGTAATAGATTACATTAATTTAAAAAAAGAACTATATGATCATTTCAATAATGCAGAAAAAGCATTTGACAAAGTACAACATCCATTCATGATAAAAACCCTCAACAAATAGGTTTAGAGGGAATATACGTCAACATAATAAATGCCATATATGAAAAACCCACAGCGAACATCATCCTAAATGGGAAAACACTGAGCTTTTCCTGTACAGTCAAAGAACAATGTTGCCTGTGATACATTCACAGGGATGTCTATTCTTACCACTTTTATTCAACATAGTACTGGAAGTCCTAGCCGCAGTAGTCAGATAACAAAAAGAAATAAAAGGCATCCAAATCAGCCAGGAAGAAGTCAAACTCACTATTTGCAGAACATGACCCTATATATAGAAAACCCAGAAAACCCGAAAGACTCCACCAAAAAACTGCTAGAAACAATACACGAATTCAGTAGTGTCATGGGATATAAAATCAACATACCGGAATCTGTTGCATTTCTATACACCAATAATGAAGCAGCAGAGACATTAAGGAATCAATCCCATTTACAATTGCACCAAAAATCGTAAGATACCTAAGAGTAAAGCTAACCAAAGAGGTGAAAGGGCTGTACTCTGAAAATGATAAAGCACTGATGAAAGAAATCAAAGGTGATACAAAGAAATGGAAAGACATTCAATGCTCATGGATTAGAAGAACAAATACTGTTAAAATGTCTATACTACCAAAAGCAAGTGGCACATTTAATGGAATCCCTATTGAAATACCAACAGCATTTTTCATAGAGCTAGAACAAACCTAAAATTTGTATGTAGCCACAAATGAGTTACCAAAGCAACCTTGAAAAAAAACAAAGCTGGAGGCATCAAAATTCTGAACTTCAGGTTATAGTACAAAGCTGTAGTAATCAAAACCATATGGAACTGGCATAAAAATAGCACATAGGTCAATAGAACAGAATAGAAAACCCAGAAATGAACCCACAATTATATGGTCAATTAACTTCAACAAAGCGGGAAAGAATATCCAATGGGAAAAAGACTGTCTCTTCAACAAATGGTACTGAGAAAACTGGACAGCAACATGCAGAGGAATGAAACTGGACCATTCTCTTTCACTGTACACAAAAATAAGTTCAAAATGGGGTGCCTGGGTGTCTCAGTTGTTTAAGCGTTGACTTTGGCTCCAATTATGATCTCACAGTTCATGGGTTGGAGCCCTGAGTTGAGCTCCAAACTGCTGCTGTGGAGCCTGTTTGGGATTCTCTGTTTCTCCCTGTCTCTCGTGCTTTCTCTATTTGTGCTTTCTCTCTCTCTCTCTCTCTCTCTCTCTCTCTCTCTCTCTCTCTCTCAAAATAAATAAATAAACAAATAAAAGGAAAAAAAAAAACCTCAAAATGGATTAAAGACCTAAATGTGAGACCTGAAACCATAAAACCCCTTAAAGCACAGGCAGTAATTTCTCTGACATTGGCCATAGCAACTTTTTTCTAGATACATCTCCTGAAGCAAGGGAAACAAAAGCTAAAATAAACTATTGGGACTACATCAGAATAAAAAGTTTCTGCACAGTGAAGGAAACAACAAAACTAAAAGGCAACCTACAGAATGGGAGAAGACATATTTGCAAATGACATATCCGATAAAGGGTTAGTATCCAAAATCTATAAAGAACTTATAAAACTCAATACCCCAAAAATAATTCAATTAAAAAATGGGCAGAAGATATAAATAGACATTTTCCCAAAGAAGATATCCAGATGGCTAACAGTCCCATGAAAATATGCCTAATATTACCATCAGGGAAATGAAAATCAAAATGGTAATGAGATATCACCTTGTATTTGTCAGAATGATTAAGATCAACAACACAAGAAACAACAGGTGTTGGTGAGGATGTGGAGTAAAGGAAAGTCTCTTGTCCTGTTAGTGGGAATGTAAACTGGTGCAGCCACTCTGGAAAACAATATGGAGGTTTCTCAAAAGGTTAAAAATAGAACTACCCTACAATCCAGCAATTGCATTACTGGGTATTTAACCCAAATAATACAAAAATACCAATTCAAAGGGATACATGCACCAGTATTATTTACAATAGGCAAATTATGGAAACAGCCCAAGTATCCATCAACCGGTGAATGGATAAAGAAGAGATGGTGTGTGTGTATATATATACGTGTGTGTGTGTGTGTATGTGTGTATATATATATATATATATATAT